ATTTTCAATGATTAGAGGAAATTACTGTTGCACCTGAAAATCCAGATCAGTCCATATCTGAAACTGATACACACTGCTCACTGTAACCAACATAAAGCTGCTAATCTCAACTTTCAACCCACTCTGGAACTTGCCACTTGTAGCTCTGTAAATACTGTAGCCATCAGGACTGCACAGATCCCTCAGAGCACTCTGCTCCTGAGCAGAATGTTCAGTTAACACTCATGCAAAGGATGGAAATAGCCCAGTCTGAGCCTCTCACCAGCAGGTCAGATTTGCTGGGCAGACAGCTGAAAAATCATCTTTGTACTTGTGCACTAAGTGCATTCTGAAAAGGACTTAACAACTAAAATTAAAAGAATAATACTTTAATGTGGTATTCACATTCTCTGAACAGAGAGAGACATAATTCTCTTTCCCAGGATTTTTCCTGGGGAAGGCAGCGAGAACCTCAGAGAAGAAGAGAAAACAATTCTTTCTCTATTCACTACTCCTGTTGTTTGGCACACGTGGAACGTGTTATGGAGATTGTGTACCCAAAGTGATTTGTTAATTGGGCATCGATGAAGGTTGTTTGGATTCCTTGGCCAGTTGGATCAAAGCTGTGCCCTGGCTGCCTGCAGACAGCCACAGGTTTTTCTTTAGTATCTCTTTTAATATAGTATTCTTTAATATGTAATTTAGTGTAGCATTAATATAATATAGTATAGCTTAATAAAACAATTGGTCAACCTCCTGAATCATGGAGTCAAAGCACATTACTCCCCACACTGGGCTCGCCTTACAACTACACTTCAACAACAGTATGATTTCAACATAAGATCTTCTTGCGAAGTGTTTCCCAAAAGCCAAGGAGCAGCAGATCCGTGTGCTCCCAGCAGAGCCCTACCTTGCAGTGTGTGAAGGTGCTCTTCACCACGCAGAGCACGGAGGGCGGGAGGGAGCGGATGCTGTGCAGGGACAGCTCCTGGGCCGAGCACACGCGGCGCACGCAGCCCGTCAGCGCCTGCAGCAGCTGCACCGCCGCCTGAGGGAAACTGAACATCAATCACCCCTGCAACACCTCCACGAGCATCTTTTCTCAGCTCAACCACACCTGGATTTTCACAGCGTTCAAAGTTCACTGCTATTTGCATAACAAGGAGTTTGTTAAAGATGAATGAAGCTCCAGAGCTTTTCTCCAACACCATATCCTCTATGAAAACTCCTGATTTCTTTCGCTATTGTTCTCAATTTACAAAAATGTTAAAATTCAGAATGAATATATAAACAGGGGTCGGGTTCACTCTTTAAATACGGGGAGTCACATTCCACCTGCAGGAGGGACTTGGAGCAGGATTTGAGATGATTTTTTAAAATTATTATTAGCACCACACGCTAGATGTAATCAAATAATTTACAAAACATTAACTGAACTTCAACTACAAAGGAAGATTCAATCCCATTTTAACCACCAGTAGCTGGCAAAAACATTCTAAAAACCTTTTAGTAGTTTAGGTAAAAGCAAAGAGTGATGTAAACATTACTTTGACAGCTTATGTGATGGGACTTGCCTGTAGCAGATTCCTCACAGTACTGCATGCCTCTGTACTCTGGCTGGTCAGTGCTTTGGCCTTGCTGGATAATTCACACATCAAGTTGTCAAAGAACTGTAGAGTCTGGCAGAACACAACAAAACCAGAACATTTTAGTTACAAGTGTACACGTAATAATAAGATTAAACAAAACTAACAAATAATAATACCATTCTATACCTACTTGCTGCCTTGGCAGGGAGGTACAGAGAGAACTTACAGCAGAAAACACTTTCCAGCATTTCAGACATAAAGCATGATATAACAAGAAGCAAAAAACTATTTTTATTTATATATATATATATAAAATAGACAGAAGATACTGTAGCTGTTATTTTTTCTAAGATGTGTTGCTAAAACAAGCTGCACACCTAATTTGCTTGAAATATATAATTCATTATTAATATTTCATATATATTATAATATATATGAAATAATATGATATATTATTTCATATTATTTATTAAATGTAATATATTATATTATTCTACCAAATATTTTTTACTTAGTTAAAGCCATATAATTTAAAAAATACTTTCATTTGTCCCATAAAAAAATACTTGTTTGTTGAGAATGATGATTAACATTTTGAACACATTGAAAAAAAAGTCTGTGACATACAGACAACGTTTATTCCTAAAAAACTATTTTTATTTATATATATATATATAAAATAGACAGAAGATACTGTAGCTGTTATTTTTTCTAAGATGTGTTGCTAAAACAAGCTGCACACCTAATTTGCTTGAAATATATAATTCATTATTAATATTTCATATATATTATAATATATATGAAATAATATGATATATTATTTCATATTATTTATTAAATGTAATATATTATATTATTCTACCAAATATTTTTTACTTAGTTAAAGCCATATAATTTAAAAAATACTTTCATTTGTCCCATAAAAAAAATACTTGTTTGTTGGGAATCATGATTAACATTTTGAATACATTGAAAAAAAAGTCTGTGCTATACAGACAACATTTATTCCTACTTTAATTGAGGTTTTTGGATGAGTGTTACTTTTGAGACTGCAAAGACAGTGAGGCACATGCAGGACAAACAGTGGTCCTTTTTCAGGATATGCCTATTATGAGACAATTTGCTTGTAATCTCCAAAAATTTGCTACTTGAGATAAAATATGAGAAAGGAAAATCAAGTGGCCATTTTTACTGGCTTCTTAAAATGGACACGCTGAGTCTTGAAACTTAAATCAGTTTCTGAGTCAGAAACTTAAGTTATTGATTGGCACCTCTTTATTTCACTTAAAATGCAAGCACCAATTTTAATATACCTATGGCACAAAATTCCCCATCATTTAATCAAAAAAGAAAACATGTATGAGGTCAGTATGGTCTAAAAGATTATTCACTACATTAATTTACAAATTTCACAACACTCATTTGTGATATGGGAGTGTTGAGCTCTTCAGCTTACTGAGAAGCTTTCTCACTTAAAAATTCTCCACCTTGGTAATTTTATAAAAAGCCCAATCTTCTCAGAAAGAAATAAAACCCAAGTCTGTTGCTGAATATAGAAAGCAGAACATTGTATATTTGATTCTGTCCCTACTGTAAAGAACGAGAACAATCACAGAAACAATTCAACACAACACTGAAAACTCTAAACTAGTAAATTTCAACTTTTGTATCCCATAGATATTGTGCAACCATAAAAGAAGAATCTCTGCAATCTAAGCAGGTTCTAACACTGGACTGACAGACAATTCCACAGTTAACAGAAGCTGTCCTACCTTAGGTAATACTTTTGAGAAAAAAATTTGTTCCACATCTTCAAGGCTGATATGTGGCAAAAACATTTCAGTCAGGATCCTCAAAATACCTGCAAAGAAAAACATTTACAATGTGTAATTCTCAGAAATATACAGCAACCTGCCAGAGGAAATAAAGAACCGCAGAAAACAAAAACAAATCAGGCACTTGATTTATAGATAGGCAACAGAGCATTTGCCTTATCTGAAATGCATGAAAACACACATATATTATCCAAAAAATCAAGTAACTCTAATAGCTCCAACATGCACAAACGCATCAAAAATAGCAGCACACCTGACTAAACCTAGTTGAAGGCTGGGCACAACTGCCAGCCTGCAGATCCAGTATTTGCCCCATTCCAAATTGCAAATAGCAGCACATTTTACAATGCAACATAATGTCCAATGTAACAGTTTTAGCAACACTCATAAAGAGGTACATATTAGCCTAATTTTCTTTAAACTATTAGCTTTGTCACTCGGAAGATAACAACCCAGAAGACAGTAAAACACCAGATGAAAACCACCCTTTTTTTGTGCATTTAAAGATCAGCAGTAGCAGAAAGGAAAAAGCAGCCTTAGATGCAGAGTTAGTAAAGGGGCATTTAAAAACATGCAGTTAGTGGAGTGTGCAAGGAAGGTCCAGCAGGATTGCTGAAGACTCTGAAAAGTTGTAGCAGAAGTATTTTAAGCACTGCAGTGATTTTAATTTTAATGCAATTGCAATACGGTGCTCCACAGGAAGAGGCACGTCTTAGCCATTACTTACGAATATGCTCAGTCCAGTCCTCAGACTCTTCATACATTGAGTAAAAACGTTAAAGAAAATCAAACTTGTTCTGCTATAAAGGCTATCTTTAAAGCACCTGCAGAAGCCACAGTGACTTCTAGCACTGTGTCATGTTTGCAAGAAATTGGTGGGGATGCTCCACAACCAAAGCAGGCTGATAGCCCGGAGTACCCACAGGATCAATAAAGTATTTCCACAATGGATTAGAGAGTAAGTCATGAGGGGTTGGTTTTTTGGGTTTTATTTTTTTTTTCGGTGGTGTGTGGTTTGGGTTCTTTTTAGGGGGTTGGATTTTGGGGGAGTAGGTGAGAGATGTGTCGGGGATTCTCTAGTGCTAAATGAACCACAGGCGATGTTCTAGATTCTATGAATCTTTTATTCCAGAGAAAAGCTGTACCCGTCTCCAGGCGAAACTCCCGGCACCCGGCCCCTCCCAAAGGTCGCACCGCTCTCCCTCGCACACATTCGGTGGAGCCGCGGAACTCCGAAGGATGCACACACACACCCCCCTCCAACACCACTCCTGTGCCTTTCCCACAGCCACCCCAGAGCCCTGCTGGGAAGGATATCAGGAGCCGGGGCAGCACGGCGGGCAGCTCCCGGCGGCAGAGCTCCCAGTCCCAGCCGTCCAGCTCCCGCAGCAGCAGCTCGGGGTCCGCCTGGGACATGGCGGCGGCCGCGCTCCCCTCAGCGCGGGGCAGCGGCGGGAAAGGCGCCCCGCGCTCCCACAAGGCCCCGCGCCCGAGGAAGCGGAAGCGGCTCCACGCGGGAGCAGCGGAGCGTGGCCCGGAGCGGCAGCCGCGGGTGGGTGCGGGCTCGGCGCAGGGAAAACGGGCTGGGAAACGCGCCCGGAGCGCCTCAGCCGGCCCGAGCGGCGGCAGCGGGGCCGCTCCGCGCGTTGGGTTTGCGGCTCTTGACACGCGGAGTCTGAAATGCGAGTTTTGGCAGAGCTGGCAGCTGTCCCAATTCCCTTGCCTGTACCTATGGTGTGTGAGACGGGGTTAGCTGTGACGCCGTGTTTGAATAAATTTAAGTGGTTAGACAGCGGGCTTTTAAATTTACAGAATAGTTAGGGTTGGAAGGGACCTCTGGAGATCATCCGGTCCAACCCCCCCGCCAAGGCAGCGTCCCCCAGAGCTGGTGACACGTCCAGGTGGATTTGGAATGTTTCCAGAGAGGGAGACCACGACTTGCCGGGGGAGCCTGGCAATGAAAATCAGGATTCAATAATTAGACGGTTTGTGCTGATATTAATGATACATAAATAAAACTATTCACTCTTATTTCCAGCAGCAGTTCACCTGGCTCTTGGTGACACATCTGATATTGCACCAGCGAAATACTCAGTCCTGCAACAATACCTACATAAAAGCTTGGCTGTAATAAATTAAGCTTTTAAAAAAACTCTTATTCCTGAAAATGGATTTTCGATTTGATTTTGCTGTTGATGAAAATGAGAGCAGTGAGGCAGATGCTCACTTCTTACTGCTGTGCTCCCCAGAACACAAGCAGGAATCCAGGGAGAAGAGCAGGGGAACTGCCGATCTTGCAGCAAAGTCCAGCCCGAAGCTGGCTGCTGCTAAGCACCAGGATGAGGCAGCTTTGAAGAAAAACCTCTGCGTGAAAGCTGCCAAGGAGCACAGCATTCCCCAAGATTTCAACAAATTATTGGAAAATAAAGTAATGGAAACAGTATTGGACCTGTCTTGTGTAAAGCTGTCTGCAGTGGAAATGATGTGTTCAGGGGACGCTGACAGCGAAGGCATCGTGTCCAAAAGTGTTTCTTCTCACTCTGATCTCATCCCAGGAGTCTACGAAGGAGGGCTGAAAATCTGGGAATGCACCTTTGATCTCATGGACTACTTTTCTGAGGCTGAAATAGAATTTACCAACAAGACTGTATTGGATCTTGGCTGTGGGGCTGGATTGTTGGGAATCGTTGCTTTACAGGGTGAAGCTGCCAGAGTCCATTTTCAGGACTACAACACCACGGTGATCGATGAAATAACCTTGCCCAATGTGGTGGCCAACTGTATCAGCGAAGGCAGGAGGATGGGCAGTGGCAAGGACAGAAAAGCCAGCAAGCCTCCTTCAAAGAGGCCCAGGAAAGCAGAGGGCTCACCTGATGTGCTCAACAGATGCAGATTTTTTTCTGGAGAGTGGTCTCAAGTCAGCCAGCTCCTGTTAAACAGCAAACCCTGTTTGAAGTATGATATAATTCTCACCTCTGAGACCATCTACAATCCTGACTACTACAGTGCTTTGCATGATACACTGGCTCAGCTCCTGGACAGAAATGGCTGTGTGTATTTGGCGAGCAAAGTGCATTATTTTGGAGTTGGTGGTGGCATTTATCTCTTTGAGAAATTCATTGAAGACAAAAACATGTTTAAAACCAGGATGGTTAAAACAGTTGATCAGGGTCTGCAGCGATGCATTATGGAAATTACCTTTAAAAATTCCTGTTAAAATTAAACTACTGATCTTCCAAAAATAGCTCAAAAATGTTTTAATCCTCATGTCTCTTTGCTTTTTCCTCTGTTATTCTGGTTTAACAAATTAAGGGTGGTTGTTGAAATGTTTGACTAGAAGTGAGCAACTTCTCTGATATTGACTTTGCATAGAGTTCTGCTTAAAGCAGCATTTGTTTATGTTTATATACAAAGATTAAGGAAGTCATTGTCTCCAGCCAGGCTTTCACATTCTCTGTCAGCAGCAGAACTGTACGTCACAGGAATGGCACACATGACATGGGAATGACATACCTGACATACTGTGGCTGAATGAGATAAATTTAGCATCCAAAATTAGTGCAAGAGGCTTTTCTCAAAGGTTGGGTAGCCTAACTGCAGCCAGATTCAGGCAGGGACCACACACCTCTGAGCTCTGCTGCATTGCCAGCAGAGGGGGATGTGATTGTATTTATCACTCGTGGGGATCTCAGAAATCCGTGTAATGTTTCCATGTGTAATGTACACATGACATATTCAAGCCCTTTAAAGAGTGTAACAGTATTAACTACTGTGGTCTGTAAATTTTCACATTCAGATTCTGTCATATGCTAAGAAAATTTCAGCAAGGAATTAGAAAAAGCCATGCTGGTTTAGAAGCTGACTTGAAAGAATATTCTACACAGGATAAGCTCCTTCTACCAACCAACAAGCCTACAAATGAAATACTGGAGGATGATAGAACTGAGCTTTAGCAGACAATTAGAAAAGGAGATAAACTGTGCTATTATAGGAGTTTAATAGATTGCTGTACTGTTTTAAACAAGATTTTTCCAGAAATGAATTGCCCCTTTTTCTAAACTTGCTGGGGGTAGTACTGAACATCCACACCTCTTCAATCTTTCCACAGCAGTTTGGCAGGACAGAAAGCACTCAGAAAAGCCTGCCATACAAGGCACTTCCCTAGGCTGAAGACAGTGATGTTGCTGAAGAAATCACTGCAGACAAACACCCAAAGAACTATACAGCCTGGTCTTGAGCACTCACTGCTACTGGCAATTCAAACAAAAAAAGGAAATCCACTGCATGTTTTGCCCTGGCCAAAACCAGACAGAAAGCTCTAAGAGAGCTGTTGTCATCATGCACTGCTTTACCAGGTGCCCTTGCAGAAATACAAACTTGGAGACAGTGGCCACTGCTGTAAACTGGATGCAAGGTTCTTCAGTGTAGAGCAGAAGGAAACAGTCTGAGGGGATGGCAAGAAACTTAGTACAGCAGTGATCTAAATCACTTTAATTATGCCATCAAGTTCCCATCACTGATGGCTCCGAAAGTCAATCCCAAAGTTCCTATTTTGAACCTGCTGCTATTAAGATAAAGTTGTAAAGGATTTCCTGTACTTCACAGAAGAGCCTTCACTACTGTTTCAGACTATTTTAAAGGGATGCTTTGGAAACTACTGAATTTAGCCTCTCATAGGATAGGAGAGGGAGGAAAAAAGTCAGTTTTGCCATGACTGCCATGGTGCTTTGGAATTTTTTGCATTAACTCTGAAACTCAATGATGATAACTGCTGACTACAGAATGAGGAACAAAAAAAAGTTTTAGCTTTGGCAAATCCAGAAGGTACTGTTAACAGCTCTTTTTATTTTTTTTCTCTGCCAAAACAGAGCAACTGGAAACAAATGGGGTACCATTTGTCATTTTTCAAACTCAATCCTAAGATAAATCATGGCTTGCACTGAATAGGTTGTTCTACACCTGCTAGTCTAGTGAGAAACATACCTCAAGTAATAAGTGTTGACCACCATGACAAAGAATATGGTTAGGAACAAGAATCTCATGTAATTTTGGATGAATAAATGAAGAAGGTACTTAAAATCTTCTACTATAATATTTCCTCTTGGTAATATTCCACTATCAAACTCACCATCTTTGGTTTAATTACTATGCCTTCACTCAGTATTTGGTTCAAACATAGCTGCTTTTGTGCAAGTACAGAATCAGAATTTTTACACTTCAAGGGAAGAATGGCAGAGCCACAATCTTATTGTGACTGCACACCTGCAAAACAAATAACCCCACATTATAATTAGCTTCCCATTTCAGAATCTGATTAGAGAATGGAAGATGCTTTTTCTCAGGTTCAATCAGCACAATTAGCATTGGGATTTCCATATTTGAGATGAGTTCTGTTCTTAGAATTCAGCAGGTACATGCTGAGAGGAAACAGAATTCAACACTTAGTTTTGTAGGCTGTTGATGTTTCAACTTCAAATAATACTGATTTCCCTCATCTATGTTCAGGCTTGCTCTACCTGAAAAATCCTCACCACCCTAGTGACCAGTGTCCTGCTCCTCTTCACAGACTGGAATAGAAGAAAATAAATGTTTCACTCCTTTGCAACACCAGGGAATGACCAGGGAAATTAAATTGCCCCAAATGACACTGCTCTAAAAAAATAACTGAACTGGGAGGTGCCTCAAAGTTTGGATTTTTTTTTATGACACATTAAAATCTTTCTTCTCTGAAGAAATAAAAGGTAGAGATCAGCTGGTAACTCAATTTTGATCAGCTTACTCCAAATCATCACCATTTTTCTCCCCTCACATTTTGAACACGTCATTACAATAATAGGTCCCGTGTAAATTATGTCTTTCCTGTAAGTATTGTGGAGACAAAGATTAAAATCACTCATTAAATACCTCAGGAAACTAAATTGAAAGGCTTGTTTGTTTTAACACAGTTATCCCTAACTGATGACTTCCATTTGAAGACTATTTGCCAGTTTTGGGAAATGAGGTTATTTAAAACTCAGGCTTGTATCCTGGCAGCTACAGTTATTTTACTAAATCTTAGAGGAAGAAGAGCCCTTGACAACAGAGCTGGGAAGTGCCTGATTTGCAGGTTACTGACCTGTGTGCTATTCTTGGTTATTAGGCACACAGGCTCTGAAATCAAAATCTTGTTAAGTAAAATCAATCCTGCCATCATTACCACAGTATCTGAAGTGCAGCCAGATAATCATTGCACAGGAACTCAAAGAGAAGCACAAAGAGCAGATGCAAAAGCAGGCAAGGGTGCTGGAGGGGAAAATCCAGGCTGCAAGTGGGGGGAATCTGGTGCCAACCAAGAGAACTGTAGCACCAGGTTCAGGAGATTGTGTTCTGAGAAGATTATTGGGATGGAGACCCCTGGAACTCTTCTGGTGAGGACTGGACTGAAAGGTTTGAAGATAAGAACAGAAAATTCCTCTCCACCCAACTGAAACAAAGGCACAGAAAGGTGGTTTAAGAGGGATCACAACTGTAAGAAGGGAGTAACAGCAGGATTTTTGGTGATAGAAACTGGCCTACAGTGTCTCAGATTTCCTAATTTGTACTGTTAGAGTCACTTGCATGCTGAAAAGGACAGGCTTCTCCTATACCACCAGATACTGCTGGGTAAGTGCAGCAGGAACCACAGAAAAGGGAAGAATTGATATAGAATTGCCTCTGGAAGTCAGCAAACCTTCAAGACAGCAAGCTAATAAATTCACAAATTAATTAAATGAAAAGTATTATGAAACAAAAAGTGAAAATTGTAGCAAGTAATTTCATAACAAACAAAAGGCAACATCCTGCCACAACAAGAGGGTAATGTTAGCTAATTCAGACACTGTCAAGGTGTAGTGAGGAGGTGGTTCACTACAACATAATTATGCTAGGAAAATAAAAACAAAAAAGCATTATTAAATTCACACAAATCAAAGCAGTCCTGGGGAATCACAATGAAAGAAGCATTGACAGAATTTTTACCTTGCCACCAGTCTGCTGCAGGGAAGGTTCTTACAGGAAAATCAAATATCATGATCATTACTTCTGCAGAATACTAGATTTTAAAATCATTGAGTAAATAAAAGATTTGGATCATTGGTGAAGAACTGTAACAGTCAACCCCACCCTCCACACCAATTTTTTTAAAATGTGGGTAAGATGAAAAGCCTAAAAAGTAATAGAAAAACAAATTGAAAACACTGAGTGAAGAACTGTAACAGTCAACCCCACCCTCCACACCAACTTTCTTACAAACGTGGGTAAGAAAGATGAAAAGCCTAAAAAGTAGTAGAAAAACAAATTGAAAACACTGTGGGGTCAAAAGACCAGTGAACAGGTTTAGTCCAGTGGTGTTTGAAGTTGGTGGTAAATCCTTAGGTATCCTACAATAGATCAGAAATGGGACTGGATGAAAACAAAGGTAAGATGGTGTGGGAATGTTTAACTAAAGGGCACATCAAAAGGAAAGGAAAAAGGGTTAGAACTTCAGAGTCTGCACAAAGGAATGATCTAAAAAATAAGATATACCTGAGGGCTATATTACAAACTATGGCAGAGTCCAGTTACTCCAAATTTATGGTTACATACTTAGAACACACATTCAATTTTATTTATCAAATTTACCACAGCTCACATTTACCAGGTTGGACTTCTCACTGTGTTCACAAATTTATTTCTTGTCATCTGACCATGTAATTTCATAATCTGTGTACTCTTTCTTCAGTATCTCTACAGTGACTGAGTGATCTGCTTTTCCATAGCCCTGCAAGACAGAACAAATTGGACATGGACATTAACTCTTCAGAACCATTCAGTTCTTACCAACACAAGTTGTTCACATGCAACTCAGAAATTCTAAAAAAGTTACTCTTGCAGTGTCATGTTTTATTTTTCTATTATCCTCTCCAATTCCCTCCTCTCCAAATCAAAATTCTACAAAATAAATGAAGTGGGGTCAAATAGAAAATGCATTTTCTACACAATTTCTCCAGCAGAAAGCCTGCTTTAAAATGTTCCCACTGTATTTATGGAATGTTGCTTTAAACCACAGAGATTGCATTGACCCACTTTAATGTCTGAGCACACAAACAGCTGATTTGGCTCAACTATGGGAAAGGGAATAAGCAAACAAGTGTGAGCATTGGAGCACTAGTCTGGCCACTAAAGAAATCAGAGTCTTCATGTTTTATTTATTTCCCATCCTGCCTTTGCTGATAATAACACAATT